TAGATTACTTTTAGTTACTTGCTCAATTTCGAAAAAAAAAATCCTTGCTATTCTCAAAAACAATCACATACACTTTCCAAACACTTTCCAAAACTTGAAATATTTTCAAAAGCTCAACACTTTGTATACGTTCTTACAAACAAAAACTATTGCAAAGTTTGTCTAAACGATGGCCTCTTCTCAAAATACTTTCAAAAATCACACGAAAGCACAATTTTCAAACAAAAAGCAAGTGATCTAGCAAGTAACTAAGAGCCCATGGAAAACCATGGATGAAAAGGGTGTTAATACCTTCCCTTTTCATAGTCTACCCCCCTAACTCAAGAAAACATCTCTAAAGGTCTTTCTTGTGCTTTTTCACCTTTCCTTATTGGATAAAAGAAAAGTCGGTGGTGACTCTTGCTAAACTGCAACATTTGCAAATACAAACGCAAAAACCTCAAGTCAGTTCTCCCACCGTATCACATTAGGCAACATCGAATGGTTATTGAGGGACTATGATCTTTATTCGAGGGTCTTTTACTAAAGTATACATATTTTCGAGGGACATGACCATTATTTCCGAAGGCAATGAAGAGAGGTTACCCTAGAGGTGTGAGTGGGAAAAGTGTGTTCAGTTCAATTATATTTATCTTGAGAATTAGGATTTTCTATCAATTGATTTTATTTTTTCCATACAAACTCTATTAACATACATCTAACAGTTATATATACAGGTATATAAAATATAAGTGCAAAAAGTAAAGCCCTAGGACTACTATATGGCTCCGGGACAGTTGCAATGTTTAATAAAACCTTGCGAGAAATTAAACACTAGGCTATTATAAAAAACTCGTGCGACCTATATAATTGTTTATAGGAATTTAAATGCAAAAGATAAATAAAAGTGTTAGAAAAGATGTTTTAAAATCCTAAAAATTCTAGGTGTTAAAAGATATTTTTTGTATTTTTTAGAGATAATTTTAGGGTTAATTAGCCTAATTCTAATTTAATTTACAAAATTAGTTTAATTGCAAAAATCTAATTTTAAATTAATTTGATTAAAAGAAAGTTAATTAGTCAAGAAAACCTAAATTTATTTTAATTTTAAAAGGTATTTTATGGTTTTTATGTTAATTGGTTTTAATGAACAAAAACAAGTTAAATTAGTAAAAGAGAAAAGAAAGTTAAAAGCAAGAAAATAAAATTCATGGGGTGGGAATCAAACTCATGCCCCCTGGATCAACAACGTGCCTGCTTTACCATTGAGTCAAGCACTCGCTTGCGTTTGGAAATACAACCTGGATAATATATGTGAAACCTGTATTAATTTGGAAAATAACATAAAAATATTGCAAACACATGGATCGAACCCACACCATTACGTTCATAAACCTTCGCCTTGACCAGCGGTGCTACGCTCTCATCTGGTTATACAATGCAAACAAATAAATATAATATAGAACCAGTGGACCGGAGAGGCGTCGAAGCCCTAGCACCGATCGTCTTCTCCGACGAGGTGATTTATCAACCTACAAAAATAACAAACGTTAGAGAGTGAAAAGAACCATATCCCCCTAAATCGATGGCTGTGAATACAATGGTATGGTTCTTTTGATTTGAGAACTCCTATATGCATATATTTGAAGTTTTCAGTTTGTGTTGCCCTAGCAATGGCAAGTAGTGACCCGTACGTTAAAGCTTACATTCTTTGGTTCATACCTGTTCTAAAAAACATGATGAATTCATTTTGAAACACACAAATAGTTAAATATGCATAGATCATGAAATTAGAATTCAAAAAATATTTTACCCAACGGTTTGCTTGGGCGTGAGTGTTTTGGACGTGGAATGGGATGCTTCTTGGCTTGGATGTGTTCCTGGGAACTTCAGAAGGATGATTTAATCCCTGGTTTGGACTGAAACAAGCTAGAAGCTTTGATACAACATGGAATTATTCTTTGAAAAAAATTGTGTTTTGAAACCCTATTCTCTTGCAGCCTTTTCGTGGTCCTTTAAGTCTGGTGTTGTTGGGTATATATAGAGGAGTGCATTAGGTTAAGAGATATGGAAAGAATCTTATACAATAAAAGCCAAATCAAACAAGAATAAAAAATGTTTTTTAAGCTTCCATATTTGAAGATTATTGCCATATTTGAATTCACACGGTTTTGACAAGTTGGATATGTGATCTTGGGCTTCAAAATGATCCAAAACAAAAGCCCACATGCCTTGGTCCATTAATTTACTATTTATTTGATTTGTTTTGCTTTAAAATGAATAAAAATCAAAATAAATGAAATAAAAATAAAATATAATGAATGAATGGACTTATGGGTCCTTAAACTTGTCATGAACACGTTTGAACCTAAAACTTTGGCCCATTAGTCCAAAAATGCAATTTTGCTCAAAGTGGACTTCATGCATTTTCTCAAAATTTCTTAACTTGCACCAATCATAACTCTTTCAATTTTTGTCACATGAAGTTGATCTTGGATTTTTTGGAAAGATTAAGATGTCCCATACAACTCTCATGTTGGTCATTTTTTCATTTGAAGTCTTTATCTTAATATAAATTGCTTTGACTAAAAGTGTTTTTTTGTTGACTTTTAAAATGATCTAATATTTTGGCCCATACCTCTCAAATGAAGCATTTTTGGTCTTGAGCTTAGAGAGACAAAGTTATAGAGAATTTAATTTCCATCAAAATGAGCTTTGGTTGATAATTTTCTGATTGGGCATGTGAAAGTTATGTTAGGTCAAAGTTTAGTTGACTTCTCCTTAAGAAAACCCTAATTTAGTAACTTTTGACTTTTGATGAATCTTGAGTTTTCTTGATGAATCATGATCAACCTTTGATCAAATGATGAACGTGACTTAAAAATATTGATGTTGACCAAAAATCTTAAGTTTTGTCTGTAAGTTGACCATAATCGACTTTTTATCCAATACAGTTGATTTTCAATCATCTGAGCAATTGACTGAGCAAACTTGTGATGCAAGGCTTGAAACTTGTCATGAGGATACTTTGAAGCATATGAGGAATCATGGAATCCACTTGAGGCATTAAAAGCTTAATTTTCTTTGAGAAATACAAAATCCTAGTTGTAGGTCAATTGCTTAGGAGAGAGGCTTGTATGCTCAAACCCTTGAGTATTCTTGAGTAATTGAGAACTCTATGAGCATGAGGAGGTGTCTTGAATCAATTGTCTTAAAAATAAGAGGACAAATTTTGGGGTACAACAAAATGGTTAGTGATGGTGATGATGACGATGACGAGGTTTATAAATATGCTATTAAAATGAAATGAGTAGTGCACATATATGTTGAGCATAATGTTAAAGGCATTGATGAAGTTAATGTTATAGGAGATGAAGTAAATGGTGGTGGTATTAATGTCGAAGAAGACGAAGTAGATAATGGTGGTACTAATGTTGAAAAAGATGAAGTTGGTGATGTTAGAAATAATGTTGAAGAAGATGAACATGAGGATAATGATGATAACGATGATAATGACTTTGAAGCTGATGGTATATCATTTGATGATAGTGAGAACGAGAGGGCTCTTGGGTTAGATGATGACTTTGATTTAATTGAGAAACAAGTTGAGGTCGAAGAGAGAAGCGTGGTAAAAATTATAGCTAGGAAGCACAAGTAAACTCCAAAGAAATTATGAATTGGTGTTGATAATATATGTTTATCTAGTGATATGGATAATGAGGTGAATATTAACAGCGAGTGATGTCCTTCTAATATTATGATGTTTGTGATGCAGAAAAAGAAAACCAAATCAAAAGTTGTAAGGAAATTAAAATTGAGGATAAGTGATATAACAAGAGTCTTCAAATGCAAAAACTTCAAGGGATAAGGAAGTGATATAACACAGCCTTTGAACTTGTAGACATTAAACATATTAGTGAATTTTTATTATGGTTTGGTTATAATGTATTTTGAGACCTTGTTATGTCTTTTGGCTTTGTAGACATGAAGATAACCGTTTGAATTTTTAGGTTCACTTGATATGTTGCGTTCAAGTTCATCATCCCATATAAATAACTTGCAACTTGACAAAACCTATTAATTTTCTACAAAGAACAAAATTATATAAAGGGTTAATACTACTTTACTTTGCAGTCGATATTATATATTTAACCCTTATATAAATAATGAAAAATCAACGATAAACATAATCATTAAGTGATGAACATTACCCTAATATATGTATTTTCATCTCACAAGTCCATTTGTTTCTATTTATATTTTAATACAATTGAGTTTATATAATCATTATTTATAACATGTTTGGATAGTACTCCATCATAAAAAAAAACATAAGCGACAAATAATTACGTTTAGGTAGACGTGATAATACCGTGATTTTAGATAACAAAATACAACCTCAAACATACACTTATTTTAAAATTAATAATTAATAATTAATTTAAATTTAAAATAAATTTACGTATCCACTAATAATCTAGCAATAAAAAAAGTATTTTCAAGAACCCAGAGGAATTTAAAAGGTTTTCTTCGTTAAAAAATTGTTGGCTTATCTGCTTGTAAACTGAAAAAATTAGATTCGCTTTCATTACCAGTACTAAATTACTAAAAAGGCCACATGACATCACATAAATGAAACTAAACAATGTAAATTAATTAACAGCTGGTTATTAAATCAACAAATACAAGTACATAAAATGATAAAATAATTTAAAAAAAAAAGAAGAAGAAAAGATCCAAAAGTATCACAAAAAGAGCGGGATTAATATATTATTAAGAAATGAAAATTAATTCCAGAAAATGCATGATACTTTTATTTACGAAAAAAAAAACACGTGAAATATTTGATAATCGGAAATTAGAGTAAATTTCGGTTGGTGTTCGAAAAACGTAACACAAAACCCTCTTTCTTTTTTTCAATTTCAATTCAGTTCCTTGGTTTTCAACTTTCTTCATTCTCTTGTAGTGAAACTCCATGAAATAGCAGCGAAACGACATCGTTTGAGCGAGAGTGAGCAACCATGGCTGAAAAGGGTTACCTGCAACTGAAGGAGCTAGGATCCAAGCTCGACACCGTTCCATCTTCCAAAGACGCTCTCGTCAAGCTCTTGAAGGTTTTTGCATTTTTCCTTTCAATTCAATATCATTCAAAGGTTTTGTGTTGGTTATAGCGTTTGTTTAATTCATAGGTTAAGGTCATAGAGGAAGAAAGATAGTGAAAATTGTGCGGCAATTTTGATTTTGTAGGAAAATTGGATTTAGCTTTAAAAGCTACAACAGTTGGTGTTAGTTATTTATGTTAGTAGGTCTTTCTGGAATTGGAAATAACTATTAGTAGATTTATTACTATAGTTGTAGAGGTGAGATTTGTGTTGATTTTGAGCAAGCTTATGAAGAATCCTCTGAGTTAGGTTAGTTTTTTTTTCTTCCGGTCGTGTAGGTGGATTTTAAGCGCATGATGCTGACTCGGGAGAAATTGTAAAATTGAGCTTTGTAGTTATTGTTTGGCGTAGTTTAGATTTAAACGAGAATTGATACGGATATTAGAAATTGTAACTGGTATGTATTGTTTGTTATTAAGTAGAAGGAAAGAAGTCAAAGTAGAAAGGAATGGTTCTGAATGAGGGATTGATGATGGAATTGAACTGTAGTTTATGAATGAGGGATTGGATTTTCTTTATGGAAATATGCCGCGCTTGGATTGACCACTAATTATGAGATATTCTCAATTAAAATGAATTTTATCTTCATTACTTATGATAAAGTTCATATTAAATGAGGGAGTTTTTGAAAAAATTGAGATGCAGCGGCTAATTTTGATTCATATAGAAGTAGTTATTTAAGATTTTTTAATATTTAGTTTTCCTTAGGTATTTGTGGAGAGTTTATCCAAACTGACTCTTAGTATTGTGAAATTAGTCTGTTAGAAAGCTACTGGTTCAATGACTCTTAATATTTAGTATTTTAGTATTTGTTATTGTGGAGAGTTTGTTAGCTCCCCTCACCCCTCAAAATGTTTTTTCTTATGCAGCAAGCAACCACATGCCTTGCGGAGTTAGATCAATCACCTTTGACTACAACACGGGATTCAATGAATCCCTTTTTTAATGCAATTGTTAAGCCAGCATTGCTGAAGCACCAAGATAAAGATGTCAAACTTCTGGTTGCAACATGTATTAGTGAGATAACTCGGATCACCGCACCTGAAGCTCCTTATAATGATGAAATTTTAAAGGTGCCTTTCTTTTACTTAGACTATCTACTTATAATTCATTTTGTTATTCTCAATTTAAAAGGGAAATTATTCCCCTTTTGGTTTATGCCAAGTAAATGTTGGAACACTGTTTATGATTATCCTTTGTCCTAATCTATGTTAAATCTCTTTACAGGATACCTTTCGATTGACTGTGAGCACTTTTAGTGGTCTAAGTGATACTAGTGGTGCATCATTTGGACGGAGAGTTGTTATATTGGAGACTCTTGCAAAGTATAGGTCGTGTGTTGTGATGTTGGACCTTGAATGTGATGATTTGGTCTATGAAATATTCCGTACTTTTGTTGCGGTTGCCAGGTTTGTTTATTATAAAATCTTATAATTCATTGTCATTTGTGTGCTACTGTTAATAACTCATAAATGCGGGTTCCCTGAAAGTTTACTAACTCGACATCTTGATTTTTTTTCTTCTAGTTTCTATTTTCTTTTACCTGGCCGTATAATTAATCATAAATGAATTAAAGATAATTAGACAAAATATACAATTTTGCTTAGCTTGGAATGTGATGTTTTGGAGAAATAAGTAATGTATTGCTATTTATTTTAAAAAACAAAGTAATGTATTGCTTATATTCAGTCTCCACCTGGTGGGACAAGGCTTGATTATCATTGTTGAAACTTTTAAACTGTTAAGACAACAAAACGAGAGCTAAGAAGATAGTCCTAGCCATTTTCTTGTAGGCCAAATTTCTATGCTTCTTTCTGGTAAAAAATCCTGTTCGGATTAATCATTGCCGCCCATATATTTTGTTTCATGCTTAGAGATGATCATCCAGAAAGTGTCCTGTCATCCATGCAAACTATAATGGTGGTTCTCTTAGAAGAAAGTGAGGATGTTCGCGAGGATCTGTTATCTATTTTACTTTCTACATTAGGCCGTGGAAATAAAGTACGTACTTTTATAAATTCTTTTTTTCCTGTTGAAGGCAGATAAGTTCTATTATTTTTTATGAAACATTATTTTTGAAAATTTGATTCCAGGATGTTACTATGGCTGCAAGAAGACTTGCCATGAATGTCATACAACAATGCATGGGAAGACTTGAGCCCAGCATTAAACAACTTTTGCTATCGTTAATGGCTGGAGATAGCAAGCTAGTGAACAATCAAATTGAATACCATGGAATTATCTATGATCTGTATTGCTGTGCTCCTCAGATCCTATTTGGAGTTCTCCCTTATGTGACCGGAGAGCTACTGGTAATTGGTGTTTTATTGACTTTGAGCAATACCACGTATCTTCCTTGTTATAACCTTATGGCCACATTATCTTTATTAATATATTTATGCTTTGTGGAGATTCTGAGTTTTGAAATGTATGAAGTTTTAACATCAGTCATTTTGGCCTATTTGTCCTCGTTAATTTTTTTGATTTTGGTTAATTATAATTTTTGTTCTTATTTGATGTCTGGTGTTTTACTTGTTGGCTGCAAATTCGTAGACTGACCAGTTGGAAACCCGTTTGAAAGCAATGAACCTGGTCGGCGATATGATTTCTATTCCTGGAACTTCCATTCCTGAAGCATTTCAGCCTATATTTTCAGAATTCTTAAAGAGGTTGTCTGATAGGGTTGTTGAGGTTCGCATGTCGGCCCTTGAGCATGTAAAGAACTGTATGCTGTTGAATCCTTTTAGAGCCGAAGCTTCTCAAATATTATGTGAGTGCACGTAACAAGACAATTTATTCAGTATTGTTTTTTAATCTTTAAATTGTATCTGCTGATTTTATTTGAGTTGAACTTAGCTGCCCTTTGCGAACGGCTGATGGATTTTGATGAAAATGTTCGAAAGCGTGTTGTGGCTGTTATATGTGATGTGGCATGTCATGCCCTAAATGCAATTCCACTTGAAACGGTGAAACTTGTAGCGGAACGGCTTCGCGATAAATCTGTATGTATATCTAAATTTTTGTTATTTATTTATTTATTTATATTTTCGTGATAAATCTGTTTGTTGATTTCGACTATGGTATCTCATTTCCCTCTTTTACTTTGCATTTGCAGCTACTTGTTAAAAAGTATACTATGGAGAGGTTGGCTGAGGTTTTTAGAGTTTATTGTGAGAAAAGCTGTGACACAACCAATCTCAATGAATATTATTGGATTCCAGGGAAGATCGTTAGATGTTTCTATGACAAGGATTTCAGGTGAAACACTTGTTCTAAATTCTTTAACATCTTTGCCATGATTTACGTCATGACCGTCATTATTTTTGGATATTGGTTTTTGTGTTAGCAATAATGACCAATTAAAAATTTGTAAACCTTTTCAGTTGGAATGTTTATGTTTATACCTAAAGATTGGTCCGTCTATTCAGTGTTAGATAAGGATAATGACTTACATGTGGTAGTCTGCTGCTTTGACTTGTATTTCTTTTCTCTCAATAGAATAATCTTTTTCAGTTTCCACATGCTTTTCTACTAAAGTAGGAAGAGTTGGACACACTGACGGTGAATATTGTTTTGTTTTAACGATAGAATTGTTTTCTCATGAGTTTGTTTCTTTATTTTTCCTTTTTGGTTTGATTTTCAACTTTTCATTTCTACTTTTTTCATGTTATATGCGTTCTAATCATATGCATTTTTCCCGTTCATTTCATTATGCAGATTTGATATAGTTGAATCTATTTTATGTGGATCCCTATTTCCAGTAGAGTTTTCAATTAGTGATATTGTTAAACATTGGGTTGGGATTATCTCTGGATTTGATAAAGTGGAGGTCAAGGCTCTTGAAAAGATATTAGAGCAGAAACAAAGGTAAGCTTGGTTGACTTCTCTGGTTTCTTAACATCATCAAGCAAACAAAGTTTCATTTGTTTGGTATTTCTTTGGTAACAGGTTACAGCAAGAGATGCAGAAGTATCTGTCTCTAAGGCAGATGCATCAGGTATGTGACTTTGAAAGTTGGAAAAGATGAACATATCATATGAAATTCAATGACAAAACGGAATTGATTCTTATTTAAATGCAGGAAAAAGATGTTCCTGAGGTCCAAAAAAAGATTATTTTCTGTTTCAGAGTAATGTCCCATTTGTTTGCTGACCCCATAAAGGCTGAAGAGAGTTTCCGGGTTCTTGATCAATTAAAAGATGCTAATATTTGGAAGATTTTGGCAAATCTTGTTGATCCAAATACTAGCCTCCATCAAGCACGCTCCTATCGGGTAACATAATCAGTGATTGATAGATATTTTTTCAGGAATGCATATTTTTGATAATCATTCTTAGAATTTAGGTTGGGCCTAACACAACCTTACAAAACCGGCTTACAGTTTCTAGGCTATATATTGTCTCATGTAGGATTCTTTACACACCCCCTCACGCCCAACACTATTTGGTTTGGTGCGTGGATGTAAATGGTGGATAACCCGATAGCGGAAATCTGATAACAGGTGGCCCATCAGATCTTGAACCAGACTTTGATGCCATCTTAGATTTTGGGTTAGGCCTAATTGAACCTTACTAAACCGACTTGTAAGGTGAAGATTTGCCCTACTTATAAACATATTTCCAAGCTATATATTGTCTCAAGTGGGACTCTTAACAACCATGGCTAGAAACTGTATAGATATTAGTCTTTGAAGTGAATATATGAGCTAAATCTTTGAACCTGATGCTCAATTCCTAGGATATAGATAATTTACAAGCATTTCTTGAATTAAGGTGCTTACTTTCTCTTTTTTATTTATTTATTTCTGATTTTTACCCTTTCGCAGCACTATCATTAATTGCCACATGTTCTTGCTTTTTTGTGCTTTTTGGCTATGAATTTGTTTAATTATTCACTCTTTGCCAGTATTATATTGTCAACATTATAATCTTCGCACAAACCTGCACTACACTATTAACTACTGAACTGGCAACCAGCTTAAACTATAATTAACGCCAACATTTCAACGAGCTTCGGAATTTGAGACTACTACATCTGTCTCTGGATATACTTTCCTGTAGCTGTTATGAACATTATTTCCAGGTGTCAATAAAATGAACTGCATATATTCAGTGCTAAAATTTCAAACAAATCGTGTCTGTGAGGGATCTATACTCTATATTAAGGAACAATATTTCAAGTTTCAACATCTAAATGTTAGCCTTGTTGTTATTGTGTGTTTTTGTAAATAAATAGCATAGTTACTAGTTAAAGAAAGAATGAGTACCTTGGACTTTGATAATTGCTGATTTTGATAAATTTTATTTATTTATTTCTTGTCTGCAGGAGGATGTGCTTACAATACTAGGTGTAAAACACCGTCTCTATGAATTTCTGAATACATTCTCTATGAAGTGCTCCTACGTGCTTTTCAACAAGGAGCATGTAAAAGAAATTTTTGTACAAATAGTAGCTCAAAAATCTGCAAAGAATGCTCAGCGTACACAGTCTAGCATGAATTTATTGGTGGTAAGCGCATGTCATTTTTAGGGTTTTGGACTGTTGCACGTGGTTTGTTATCAATTTATCCATGAATTCTGGCACAACTAATAAATAAATAGTTTCCAGTTTTTTATTGTAATGTTGCAAATCGTGCTTTATGTCGTTGCGTGATCTGATTAATTGGCATAACACGGGCTTAGGATGACTGTGTATGATAACTGCTGATTTATCCCCAAAACTTAAGCTGTTAGGAGAAAGGTCAGAAATGATTTTTATATATTTATTCTAAGGGTCTGTTTGATATGTATGGTAGGACCCCTAAATGGCTAAAGCTGATAGGAGAAGGTTAAAGAATAGTTTTTAGGTGCCATTGTCATGAGTTTGGATATTGGATGCTTTTAATTTTTCAGTATCCTTCTCTGATAACTTCATTCTTGTTTATTTCTGCTATGGAGCTGTGATGTGGTTTGGATCATTGTGGGCACGGGAATTAAGAATTTAAAAGAACAATCTTTTTGTCCTTAAAATTAACTTGTAATAAACTGCAGATAATTGCTCGTTTCTGTCCATTGCTTCTTAATGGCAGTGAGGAGGAACTGGTGAATCTACTGAAGGATAACAATGATATTATTAAAGTAGGTGCTCTTAATGCTTTAGCTAAGGCCGGTGCTACTATTCGTAAACAACTTTCAGTAAAGTCAAGGTGCTGCTTTTAAATTTTTTAACCTTTAAATACATTTCTTTGTACAATTTTCTTACCATGTCCTTGTTTTATATAGTTCGGTAGACCTTATGTTGGAGACATTATGCTTAGAAGGTAGTCGGAGGCAGGCAAAGCATGCTGTCCATGCATTGGGTGCGATTACAAAGGATGACGGCCTCAAGTCTCTTTCTGTTCTATACAAGGTTTCTATAGTTGATTCATTTATTTTAATTTAAACACTCTTTTCCCCCCCTTCTACTCTAATTTTTATCATCTATACAGAAACTAGTAAATATGCTAGAAACAAAAACACATCTGCCTGCAGTACTGCAGTCCCTGGGGTGTATCGCGCAGACCGCAATGCCTGTTTTTGAAACTAGAGAGAATGAGATTAAAGAATTTATAATAAACAAGATTCTGAAAAGCGATGGTGTAAGCATTTTAAGTCCCTCCAAATGGTGTGCTCGTTTATAAAATTAACTGAGAAATATTTGATTTTAATTTGAATGCATACTTCTCTATTTCAGAAAGATCAGACTAGAACTTCTTGGGGTGATAAAAGCGATCTTTGTATGTTGAAGGTTAGTAGGACACACTCTCTTCTGTTTAAGATATTTAGGATTCATTTTTCATTCTGTAGGTACATTGCAAAATGCTTGACTTGGCTTCTTATTTGACATTTCATTCTATGTTTCTCCCTGTGCTCCTTTTTTTCCGTTATTTGCTGCAGATATATGGTATTAAAACCTTAGTAAAGAGTTACCTGCCTTTCAATGATGCTCATGTTCATATGGATATTGAGAGTCTTCTGAATATCCTTAGGAAGATGCTATCTTATGGTGAAATATCAAAAGACCTACAATCAAGGTATATAAGCTTCAGAGTTACAATTTTTATTGTCGGTTCAAATACAATGTACTCATTTATGCTTGCTTGCAGTCCAGTTGATAAGGCTCATTTGAGGCTTGCTTCCGCAAAGGCTGTTATTCGTTTGTCAAGGGTTTGGGATAAAAAAATACCCGTTGATCTTTTCTACTTAACTTTAAGAGTATCTGAGGTGGTTTTTCTTTAAAAAAAATTTCTTTGAGCATTTATAACTTTTCATCACATTGTTATCAGGATAGAAGACTTCTAGTTTGTAAAGGCAGAAATCAGTTTGATGAAATTTTCATTTCAATGTTGATGTAAATGAATCTCATTGTCTGCTTTTGAGTTTGCAGATAAGCTTTCCTCAAGCTAAGAAGGTTTTTTTAAACAAAGTTCACCAATATGTTAAAGACCGCCTTTTGGATGCCAAATATGCATGTGCTTTCTTATTCAACATATTTGGATCCAAGCCACATGAATTTGCAGAGGTGTGTTGGTGATATGCCATCTCCTTTGCAATTGACATTTTCCCATTCTTTGTCATTAGTTTTGAGTTTTTGTATGACTCCTCTTTATTTATGCAGGCTAAACAGAATCTGGCAGACATTATTCAAATGCACTACCAGGCGAAGGCACGACAAATTCCAGTGCAATCAGATGCAAGTTCTTTGACCATTTACCCGGAATACATTCTTCCATACCTCGTTCATGCACTTGCTCATAACTCATGTCCCAGTGTTGAGGAGTGCAAGGATGTTGAAGCATATGATAATATATACCGGTACTAGATTACTCACTTAAAATATCTCTATGCTAAATCCATACTTAGACACTCATCAAAAAGGAAATCAAAAGACTCTAAATAATGAAAACAATTAACCAGGAACAGAAGGGATAAAGGAGATTTAGTTTACTTTGATTTTATGACTTATATTAAAGTATATAATGCTAATATTGGTTCTCATTAGTTTGAATTTGAAAGATTTAAAGAATGGCGCATGCTCATTGTTTCTGAATATATATTCTGTTGTGAATTTTTAGGCAGTTGCACTTGATACTGTCAATATTACTTCAACGAGATGAAGGTGCCAAATCAGAAGTAACCACTAACACAGAAAAAGAAATTATATCTACTATCACTTCAATCTTTAAGAGTATCAAACTCTCCGAAGATATAGTTGACACTTCAAAGACAAAGGTTGAGAGTAATTTTGTTATTACTTTTAAGTAGTTAAATATTGCAAATTGTAATAGATTATAACTTACATCTTTGGTCAATGCATTTCCAGATTTCTCATGCAATATGTGACCTTGGCTTAGCAATAACTAAACGATTAGCGCAGAAGGATGTTGATCTGCAAGAGTTGTCCCATTTGGTGTCTCTACCTCCAATGCTATACAAAGCAGTTGAGAAGAAGGAAGGAGATGACACTATGGTATATGCTATTTTTTTGTTGGTATTTCCTGTATGTTAAGTATCCTTGTTCATATTGTTTAGATGCTTTTCTGAACAGACTAGCTTCTTTTGGTCGATGTATTCTTGAAATAAGCTGAACTATTTACTTGATTTTAACATCTATAAGATCTCCAATGATTTTAACTAATGGAACTGAATTCATCTAGCTGGTAAGTGAAGTGAAAAGCTGGATTGTGGACGATACCGCCTTGGCTCACTTTGAATCTCTTGAGCTAGAAATGGTATGTTTCATGCAACTGAAAAATTACCTGACAACTTTCTTTGCTTTAAAATTTTTGAAAACCATGTGATTCTTCTTTTATGTCAGGTTCAATCCCAATCAGCTGAGGATGAAGCTTCAAAGGATAATGGAGAAAACGAAATACCTTTGGGAGTGATGTTGAAGCAAATCAAATCACAGGTGATTAATGGAAAAAAGGTGAAAAAGATTAAGTCTGTGCCAGCTGAAATAGAAAAGATTGAAAATGATTTTTCTAGCTTGAATACGGTCAGACAAATCAACTTGGATAACTTGGGGTCACCAAATGTTGAACAATGTAATGGTCATGAACATTCTTTAAGTAAGAAAACACCAGAGGATCCAGAGCATGCTACAGGTCAAAAAAGAAAAACCGGTGAAACAACACCTGATCCAGTGTCTAAACGTAGTAGGTCTTCCTCTGCTCATGGTAAACTGAGATTGTCAACTACTACATTAAAGGCATCTCGAAGAGTTTCAGGGGAAAACTCCCCTCGAGCAAAATTAGTGTTGGATGCAGATATTAACACCGATACAGATAGTGACATGCAGAAAATAACGCTCAAAGACTTCTTAGTGTCCTCATTAAAACAAAAAGTTAAGGGCTCTGAAAGCTATCATAGTGATGAGTCGAATAAACATGATGAATATGACATGAAGGTACAAATCTTACCGTGCACTAAAATTTGTGATAATATAGGATGTAATTTCTCGATGTAGACTTCTACTTATTTTTGTCTCGGATGTAGAGTCATGATGATTTGGAACAGAGTGAAAAGACTACAAGTAATAATTCCAAGTCATCCACACGTTTTAGTAAGAAGAGTAAGAGAAAAAGTACTGCAGGATTGACAAAGGTGAAATTTAATTACAAGCTTTCCCACTTTTTGTATGTCATAATTTGTCTTCCTTCCTGTCCCTTTGGTCATGTTTGATTCATTACCATCTACAGTGCACAATGAAGAAAGGTGAAATTGATCCTGAAGATCTAATTGGTTGCAGAATTAAAATTTGGTGGCCTACGGACAAGAAGTAAGTAATTAAGATGAATTTTCATGGAGCAGTTGCAGAGCCAAACTAAATCATTTATGTCAATCATTCAAAGTTGTTTTTTTATTGATGGAAGCATTTTGGGCACATTTTCAAAGACGACCTTTTTTACAAATTCTGCCATGCTCCTTCTGAATATGACTTTCTTATTTTGTTTATTTCTCAATTTCTTCAAGGTGCATTTGCTTGCATTAACTTCTTTTACATTCTAATTGGAACTGTAATTAGCATATGGCACTCCGCCTACCATGTTTCTTTCTACCATATAAAGAAATTTCAAAATTCGTAATTTTTTTTCTTGTCAGTACTGATTTTTCAAATGTGATTCTCATGTCGGTGTCAATGTTTTACAGATTTTATGGAGGAACTATCAAGTCTTATGATTGTTTAAAAAAGAAGCATGTGGTAAGCTAAATAATGCTGAACTTGCCCTCTGAATTTGGCACAAAGATTTCCTGCTTACTATCTCCGTGTTATTTTCAATTCTGATACATATTACTGATGTCATGTGGAAGATATTATATGATGATGGAGATGTAGAAATACTTCGTTTGGACAAGGAGCGCTGGAAGCTTTTGGACAAGGGTCGTAAATCTACTAAGGTCTCCACTTTCTCTGAAGTAATTGTACATTTTTCATTTTCCACTAGAAGATATCTGTTATGCTTGATTAAAATCAGAGTATTTGATGTTTTTTTTTTAATAAATTTCTTACCAGAAGATAAAACGCTCATCACTTGTAACGTAAGTATTCCCTCAACAGGCTATTGATTTTGTCTTATTCGATCTCCATTTCACAGACTAAAAGTTCTTTATTGTTCTGTAGTTTCGGGCACAAACATAATGGTTCACCAAGTAAAAAGAAAAAGAAAATGTGAGTTGAAACACTAAGATATTTACTACACATAGCTGATTTTATTTTATGTTCTAATCATTATAATTTGTATACCTTCCTTATAGAGTTAATGATAAACAATCTCCAAGCAAGCCTGTAAAACCTAGAAAAATATATGCATCAAAAAGTGATATCCATCAAGAGGAGGCCAAAGAGACATCTGAGTCATCAAACCATGAAGAAACCATGACTTACGAAGCTGCTGATGAGATGAACTCAGGTAACGCGACTCTAAAGATTGCTAATTCAGTTTAGAAATGAATGTTACAACCTATGATATCTTCTAGCATTGATTATGCTTCCCCATTTGTGTCAATGACTTGTGCTTCATTTTTGTTTCATCTCTTTTTATCATGAATTTTATTTTCAAGGTGGTTCAGAAGAGGAACTGACATCAGGGTCCGATGAAATCACAACAAAGGGGAAGAAATCTACCAAGAAAGTGAGATCAATTTCCAGAAGAAAGAAGCTCAAGAAAACCAATAACTCTCGTAATATTGAAGAATCAGACGAAGATAAACAGGACTATAGTGAGAGGAGTTCTGAAGATAGAGAAAGTGTCCCGCAATATAGCTCAGACGAGAGGAATGCAGATGAATCAACTGAAGCTTTGACGGAAAATGTTGACGATGAAGAAGAATCGAAGTTCGAAGAGGATCAAGATAACAACGATGTGGGTGATAGTTCCGGAGAAACAGAGAAATCACATACAGAGCCATCGAGTCCTGATGAGGTCAGCATTGCAGAGATTCCTGACGACGCACCTCTGGTAAATAACTAAGCTTTTGAATATTGTCTGTTTTCTAGTAATTGTTATAAGCTCATCATTTGAGAGAATGACTAATGCAGAGCAAATGGAAGTGTCAAATGGGGAAGAAAAACTCGAGAAAGACACGATGAGCAGTTAAAAGTTGCAGCCTGTGTCTGTCAAGATTTCTGCAGAGGTGATGATGTAAAAGTATGCTTTCTATACCTTGTTGTAGAATGTAAATTAACGTCCGTCATTTCCATGTTCAGAAAGAAAAATGATAAGGTTTTATTAGGGTTATGTTCATGCTAAATGAGTTTTTGTTAGTACAGGTGATAGGTTCAGCATATGATTCATTAAGGTGTTGTTCACCCTTCCAACATATATGATATAGTTGACAAGATAATCGACAATGTGTACAGCTATACGTGGGGATGTTTATTTATACCTATAGACTGTTAACTGATAAGGACAACAACTCTTTAATTTGTATGGAATCATTGACACCAAAAACATGGCGGAGAATTCAAAATATCTTAATAAACCAGAAAGTAGTGGTATTTAATTTAGCACGATGTTCATGTTTTACAATTTAAAATCTAACTCAAGTATTCATATCATTATTGAATAATTAAATTTACTAAAGTTATTTTGTAATCATGTACTGATTACTCATTCAAAGTGATAGTAACAAAAATAACTAAATAAGTAAAACCTCGAAAAGCTTGAATTGTGGATCTTGACGAGGAACAATTAAGATGCCAACTACATTGAAGAACACGGCTGATGATATGGGACACCAAAATAGTTTGAGAATCTCTTAATACACCTTTATATGGTGAATTAAATTTTTGAAAATTTTAAAATATCTTTTAGAGATACATTTTCGAACGCACTTTAAATTAATTTTTAAGGTTGGAGATGCATCTTCGAAAACACTCATATTTATATGTTATAATTATTTGAATCTTGTATTTAAATATTCAGTAGTATTTTTAGAGATGCATATTTGAAAGCACCGTAAAGAGGTGAGAATAGGTGATTGAATATGCATATCCGAAACACTGAGAATATATATATATATATATATATATATATATATATATATATATATATATATATATATATATATATAATGTCGGTATGTAATAAATACCAAGATTTAATATGTAATTCAGTTAAAATGTTAATAAACACCTTAAAAAAATATTAATAAACACGCAAACGAAAAATGATACGAACATAATTCTGAATTGTTTAGATATACCGAAAAATAATATATAAATTGTTCAGAAAGTACAAAATATAAAATGATTACATCGGTAAATAAAAAAAAGGCATAGTCTATTGCGTATGTATAATCTTAACCGCTGACTCCTCCTATGCCTCTTGTATCACGTCGCATTTGATGCCTCCATAACCATCCTCTCTATAATGGCCACCGCCTCAGAACCACCCCTCTCAATGATCCCTAATTTCAAAGCCTTCTATCAAATCAACTCTATCCGTTGATAGACCAGCAAGACATCAGTGGCATGGTCATCCCGGGTCTGCTGGTTCTCCAAGATCTCCTCGTGAGCTGGCTTAGGTGGACGTCCAGGAGCATCTGATGTCATGATACAGTGTGACACTGTGTAGAACCATGTCACGTATCCTCTACACAATGCCAATTGCTGGATGCCCGTGTAACACCCTAAATTCTATCCGATAGTTATAACGAAAATCAGAGTATTTAAAAGCTTCCAACACATTTGGGATATCACATTTCAACATGTTACAACACATAAACAGATACAAAACACTTTAGTTTCTGAGGATCATATAACAACTTGCATCATCTTTTAAAACAAAATCACTTCTTTTATTAATAACGGAGCAGAATCATAATTACAACTTCAAGTAGCATCATATATTTCGTCCAACTAAAACGATTTGAGGAGCAACATATTATTTCACATAATTCAATTTAGGATTCAACAACTAAAACAATTTCAACAAGTAAACAACTATTCAATCATTTTTCCCCGAGTGCTACGTATCAGAGCGACGACACCGACTCGAACTAACGATGTACAACTATCCTTCTTGATTACCTGCACGTTACCAACAGAGGGCAACATTCAAACAGAAGGGGTGAGATTCTTAAATCGTATAAGTGAGCGCATGGTAAATTATATATTAGAACCAAGTTATGCAAAAATCACCACTTCACAACAACAATAGCAACAAGATATCATCAAAATACAACAATTAATTCATCAACACAACATCTCAATTGTACAACTTAGAATGCGACTCAATGTTATGCAAATGCATGTGGTACCATTGGAGCAGAACTCCCAACTTAGAAAATCTGTCAATAAATAAAGACATTAACAAGGCATAAGCCTTCAACTTAATATTTTGCCAATCCAGGCCAACGTGGTGCCAATCTAGGCCAACTTAATAATGCAAATGTATGTGACTTAATGAATGCAATAATTACATACAACAATGACAATATATTCGACAACGTTGGCATAAGCCTACAACTTAATCAACTTATCAAGCATAATATTTTCAACAACAACAATGTATTCAACAACGTTGATGTCGTACGGTGGGATAACTGACTTGAGGTGTTTTGCGTTTGTTCCCAAATGTTGCATATTCATACAAAGTAGACAAGTCCTTAGGTTTAGGCTTGCATGAAGTTTGTAGGTAAGTACCCTCTTGAAGTTTAGTTGGCTCAACCTGTCCTAGTCAATAGTAACCAGGTTCTAAGGGATCTCAATATCACTGATCTTTCCCCCAAGTTTCGTTCAATAAGCGATTGACTCGCAACCAAAAAAACTCAAGGGTCAAACCTCAATGAGTGTAGCATCGAGTATCAACCAACTCCGGACTGCACCAAAGCCGGTTATCTCGCTACTTCCTAATGGCCAAGTTGGTCAAGTAAGGTTCTAAGGTCAGTTGATGCTTTATGAAACCACGCGGAGGCCCCGTACTCTCCTTGACTGACTCAAGGGTTATCGGTACCAACCAAAATGCCACATCAACGTAGCTACCGCTTCTACTGTGTCGGTATACCCCGCACAGTTCCCTCACAGTTTATTGCTACTTACCTAAAAGGTGTCCCCAAATCCGGGTGTAGGATTTAAAACAAACCCAAACAAGGAACCATAATGTAAAGCAAACAAATCAAACAATGTAAGCAAGTAAATGTGATCTAATCCTAAGGTAACTCCACTTTTAGACAAATTCCTCAGCAGAGTCGCCAGTTCTGTGGTACGGTGGGAGAACTGACTTGAGGTATTTTGCGTTTGTTCGCAAATGTTGCGGTTTAGCAAGAGTCGTCATCGACTTTTCTTTGATCCAATAAGGAAAGGTGAAAAAGCACAAGAAAGACCTTTAGAGATGTTTTCTTGAGTTCAGGGGGTAGATTATGAAAAGGGAAGGTTTTAGCACCCTTTTCATCCATGGTTTTCCATGGACTCTTAGTTACTTGCTAGATCACTTGCTTTTGTTTGAAAAATATGCTTTTGTGTGGTTTTGAAAGTATTTTGAAAAGGTGCCATCGTTTAGGAAAACTTTGTAATAGTTCTCGTTCGTAAGAACGTATACAAAGTGTTGAGCTTTTGAAAATATTCCATGTTTGGAAAGTGGTTTGAAAGTGTATGTGTTTGTTTTGAAATTGAGCAAGCAACTAGAAGTAATCTACCTACTCAAAAGGTCTTAGGTATTTTTTTCCTTCTCCTTTAGATATTGCTATCTTACCATTGTTTTGGTAAGAAGCCCCATCATTGGATGTGAAGGGACGGGCGTTGGGTCATTGTATGACAATGATAGTAATGTTGTGAGATGACTTAATACTTTTCTTTTAGGGACTAAGATCATTTTGAAAGACAACTTTGATAGTGTCATCGAGGGACTATGATCTTGTATTTTTCGATTTGTTTGTGCTAAGACATCCCACATGCATAACATGGCCATTTTGTAAGGCAACAAGTGGAATAACCCTAGGGGTACTAGTGTGCAAGTGTGTTTGATTTGCAAGCATTTAATCTTTGATTAGGGTGATCTATTTGTCAATTTCATGTCTTGCCATACACACCCTAATTACTAGCATTTGCATTTGAAAGCGATAAATTGCAGAAATGTAAAGTCCTACGCTATTACAATATTTTGGGGATGGGGGTACATATTTATGAATGGGGATTGCAAGGAATTTATGTCCTAATTATCTATTACAACCATATTAAAATGCATAACATAATAAAGAAATGGACTTGTTTAGAAAATATTTTTTGTCTTAAGGAAATAAATTAAAAGGAAAATATTTTTATGTTTTTTATGTTAATATTAAAAATGATGAAAAGGAAAATAAATGCAAGATAGAAACGGCGTGCTGCTGCAAGAAGAACAACCAGGATCAAAAGTTCTGAAGTCAGGCGCGTGGTGACTCAGAAGGAAGCGTCAGAATCAGAAGTTCTGGATTGGTACACTCTGAGGTCCTGGAAGAAATGTTGGAGGATAAACACAAGTTCTGGGTGGTATTCAGACAGTGGGCCACAAGTCAGAAGTTATGTATTACACTAAAAGAGTGAGCAAATGTCAGCAGCTCAGTGCGTTATCAACATGTAAAAATCAGAAACTCTGAGTGTTCAGTGTATTTAACATGTAAGGAGAACTCAAAAGTTCTGTGCTGTGTTAGAACAGTGAGTGAATCATCAGAAGTTCAGTGTGTTTAAACAGTGAAGAAAACTCAAAAATTCTGTGTTGTGCTTAAAGCTGTGAGTGAACATCATAAGTTCTATATTTCAACTCTTAATCATCACATTAGCAATTAATTCAGTTCTTATTAAACATAAAATTAGAAGGATAACAGCACAACGACTCATAGAAGTTCTAATCCTAAATCTGAGTCTAGCCCTAATCAAGAAATTCTAATCCACAGTTTTTCTACTTAAGCAATGATATGTACAATATTAATACTATGATATTTACATGTTAATGATGTTCATAATGAAAAACAAGCAAAGTTAGAGAGACTTACCTTGAACATGGAACATGCTTGGAGCTTTGAGTGGCTGCCTTTGGATGTTCTGAGTCAGCAAGGGTGACAGAACAGTGGTTGTGTTCTTTGATTCAAAGGGGGGGAACAAAAGGTTTT